GAGATTGTGCGCAAGGCCATTGCTCGCGTTGCTGCCCACGAGGGCGCGCACCCGCAGGCAGATGCCATGCAGCACGCCGTGATGACGGCCGAGCACCTCATCCCCAACGCCACCCGCCACAAGCTCGCCCCAGTCACTTCCAAGTACTACCCTCCGCAGGAGGGCGAGTTTGAGGGCGAGATGCCCACCGTGCCCGAGCCCGCTTCCTTCTCCTCCTCCTCCTCCTCGTCGTCTGGTGTTGATGTGCAGACCATTGGCATTGCTGCTGCCGTCGCCATGTCTGCGCTGGCGCTCGCCAAGTCGTTCAACCTCGTCTGAGGCGAGGCCCTGTTGCAGATGCATGGCGCAGTGCACTGGCCTGTTTGCTTCTTCTTCTTCTTCTTAAGGTTGCTTGCTTGGATGTGACCTTGCGGTTTTGGGGTCTCACTCGCTGCTGCGGCTCTTCCTGGCTTGTTGTTGTCTCCCTTGTTGACACATTGAAGCGTGCACTGCCTCCTACAATACACACTCTGGAATGCACGTTGAGAGAGAGACAGAGAGACAGAGCGACAGAGACAGAGATAGTCACCCACACACAGACACACACACACACACACACAGACACACACACACACACAGACACACACACACACAGACACACACACACAACAACAACAACAACAACAACAACAACAACAACAACAACAACAACAACAACAACAACAACAACAACAACAACAACAACAACAACAACCACGTTGCCAATTGCATTTTTCTTCGCGACGGCAATTTGCAACGATGGAGAACCAGGAAAAGCGCGCCAAGCTGACGGCAGTGGACGCTGCTGATGACGATGATGGCGCTGTGGAGGTGAAGCAGCAGGAGAGGGGAGCAGCAAAGGCAGCAAAGGCGAGAGGGGTGAAGTTTCAGCTGGACGAGGAGCAGGAAGCGCGGGAGATTGAGAAGCAGCGACGAGCGGCTATTCAGAAACAGTACCAGGAGGCCTCAGCCACCGAGGACGAGGAGCAACTGGGGCCATGGCTGTCCTGGGCAGACCAGGCCATCAACGTCACGCTTGGTGCGTTGGTGCAGAGGAGGAGTGGTTGGGTTGGAGAAACACGTGTGCTCTGTGTGTGTGTGTGTGTGTTGTGTGTGTGTGTGTGTGTTGTGTGTGTGTGCGTGTGTTGTGTTGTGTTGTGTTGTGGTCATGTGCTTTGGTAATTGTGCGTCGCGCCTTTCATGGAATCACGCCATCTGTTTCATCCACACAAATGCACGTACACCAGTCTCGAGCTCCAAGACGCTGAGCAAGGATGTGGAAGTGGCTGCATACCATCCGGAGTTTACGCATCAAGTCATCGGAGAAACGTGCGCAATTGGCTCCTGATCTTTGATTGTGTGAATGAGCAGTGCTGTCCTTCTGATCCTGCGCTTGCTTGCTCGTGAGACACACACCTCTCTGCCTCACCTTCTGTGTCTCTGTGTCTCTGTGCCTCTGTCCCTCTGTCCCTCTCGTCACTGCTGCCCTGTGTGTGTTGCAATGAAGGGAGAAGATCTATGGCTACGAGGACTTGCAGGTTGAGGTGAGCCATGCGTGCGATGCTCAAACCAACACGCACACGCACACCAGCACACGCGCACACACACACACCAGCATACGCATACTGCATGCCGCATGAGTGCGAAGGACTTCGTTGTCATTCATGGCACACTCACATCTCACCCTCAACGCACACAGGTCATGTACAGCGCCGGCGCGCTCTCGTCTTACGTTGGCATCGACTACGAGGACCGGGTGGACAACGAAGACAAGGACGCAGAGGTGTGTGTGTGTGTGTATGTATGTGTGTGTGTGTGTGTGTGTGTGTGTGTGTGTGTGTGTGTGTGTGTCGGCTTGTCGGTGGAGGAATGAAGACGCAGCATGCAAACACGAATGCAGCATACGTGTGGTCAGTCCATCACTGGGTGCTTGTCCGTTCGTGCCCTCACCCTCACTTCATCATTTCTGTGATGCGCTGAGCAGCCGGACAATGTGATCAAGTCCATCATCGACTGGATGCCACCAAGTGCGTGCCAATCCACAGCTAGACACCTCTGCATGCTTGGCGCTACCAACACCCCACTCCCTGCCCGCTTGCTTGTCGCCACGCCTCAAACTCACTATCACGCGTTCCACTCGCCATCTCACCTCATCACGCGTCATCTTTGCTCTTCTTCCTTCTCTTCTTCCTTCCCTCGTGCTGCTGTCCCTCCAGCGTGCACGACTGACAGAAGCAAGTTCCTGCAGCAGTGCGATGCAGACAGGAAGGCATTCAAGCCCGTTGGCGACGTGGTCTTTGAAGGGAAAGGCAAGCAGGACGAAACGCTGCAGGTGTACCTGGTACGTCATAGGTGTAGGTGTAGGTGTAGGTGTAGGTGTGTGTGTAGGTGTAGGTGTAGGTGTAGGTGTGTGTGTGGGGGGTGGGGGGTGCGCGTCTAGTGTGTTAGTGTGTGTGTGGATGCGTACAGTGTGGTGCTTGAGATTTCCGGCCATGTTGTCTGCACTTGCAAGCAAGCAATACACGACAGCAAGTGTACGTCCTCACATTGGGTGGTGTTTGATGATTCAGGCGAGTGCGGACACGAGCGGATTTGTGGACTATCACTCCCGTGCACAGACGCTGGCGGTGTGGAGCATTGAGCAGGCCACGTGGCTCGACCTCACAGACACCAACTGGCGCGTCTTCTATCTGTAAGTGGAGCGTGTGTGTGAGTGTGTGAGTGAGTGTGCGGTTGTGTGGTTGTGTGTGTGTGTGTGCGGTTGTGTGTTTGCGTGTGTGTGTGTGTGCGCGCTAGTGTGTTGTTTGATTGATGTGTGACACACTGGTGGCACACGGGGTGCATGGTGTCAGGTTCAAGAAGGACACGACGGATGACGGGGACGTATACTCGCTGCTAGGATTCTCAACTGTGTACCGCTATTACGTCTTCCCAGACAAGATCAGGCCTCGCATCAGGTGTGAACGTGGAGAGTTCTTTCATCGTTGACGCCACTCATACATGTCTCTTTCCGGCACACTACTTTTCACACGCGCACACACTCTGCCTCGTGTGTGCTTCATCGCATACTCATGCACACACACACACACACTTACACACACACCCACACGCACACACACACACACACGCACACACACACACACACACGCACGCACACGCGCGCGCGCGCATATCCCCCTCCCTCCAAATGCCAGCCAACACCTGGTGCTGCCGCCGCACCAGCGTCGCGGCTACGGGACGGTGCTGTATGAGGCCGTGGCCGCGCACCTCCGCACACTCGACGACGTGGTGGACATAACGGTGGAGGCACCTGTGCCTGCGTTTGAAGTCATCCGCGACAAGATTGACTGCAAGGAATGCCTCAAGCTCCCGTTTGTCGCCGACTTTGATTTTGACACCACCGGTCCACAGCCCTTTGTGGACCACGTCAGGGTGAGCTCGATATATCCGTGGATGTGTTTGTTGGGCGTCTGCAATGATGGTGCTCACTTGCCTTGTGCAGCATCTTCGTTGGACTCGTGCGTAGTCACACCTCCACACACACACACACACACACACACACACACACACACACACACACACACACACACACACACACACACACACACACACACACACACACACACACACACACACACACATTTCCGCATGCCGTCACACCCCCTTCACGCACGGCTCCCCTTTTTTTCTCAGGAGAAGCTCAAGTTGAGCAAGAAGCAAGGCCGACACGTATACGAGCTGCTTCATTTCCTCGCAGTCGTCAACGGAAAGGTGGGCGTGACGCCTGTTTCACACGTGTCATGCGGAGGGTTGGGGGGGCAAAGGACCGTGAACGGCCCTCATGTAGAAGCTGTGACGTTGTTAGCGCTGTGATCTGAACCGCGAGCATTCCTCGATCTTCCTCATCACCAGCGTTATCACGTCCATCATCACCATCCTCATGTCAGGCCTCTGAGGAGACATTCCTGCAGCGGTTGAAGGCGCGCCTGTATCGCCCGCACCACGTACGTGGCCGCAATGCTTGGCTGCCATGGTGTGTTGTGAATGAGTGAGTGTGTGTGTGTGTGTGTGTGTGTTGTGTGTGAGAGTGTGTGTGTTGTGTGAGAGTGTGTGTGAGTGTTTACATTACAAACAGCCCGCATCACCTCAACGTCTTCTATTCCACACCACGTCACACCCCTCCTCACTCAACCCATTCGCCAACACCAGCATGAACTTGCGGTGAAGAACAAGTTGCGGTCAAAGCTCTCGGAACAGGAGCAGCGTCTTATTGACCAGCAGCAACAGGTCACGCCATTGCAAGCCGGGGGTGGCACTGTTTTGCATGCCCTTTTGTGTGCGCTCGTGTGTGTGTGTGTGTGTGTGTGTGTGTGTGTGTGTGTGTGTGTGTGTGTGTGTCTGTGTGTGTTGTGTGTGTGTGTGTGTGTGTGTGTGTGT